CATAGATAAGCTGCACCTGCTCCCTCCCTCGGACACGCCTACCCCGACCCACATAACCCCCTTTCCTGCTCCAAATAGTACTCTCTTCGCTCTTTCGTTTTCCAGACTTTCGTAAACTTACTTTGAGGCTTCTCTCCAAACGGTCCGAAGAACCCCAACTAAGGTCCTACCTGTAGTTGCCTCCCCAGTGACCATATTGAGGAAACTTCAGACAGTTTTCCATCCGGAGGGCCCCATTTCTAGACCCTCTTGAAATTGAGAGAACTCACTTGTGTCTTCAGCCTCTCCCCCCCCCCCCCCCCCCCCCTTTTTGACCTTACCTCTTTCTCGTGGTGGTCTCTTAGAGACCCAGATAACGTGTTCATGATTCTTTACCGTGCATGCTTGCTCTTCCCATCTCTGAGACCCCGTCTAGACTTTGTTCTGAATTCTCACCCTTTTTCCCCACCCTCCATTCCCACCTTCCAATGGCAGGGAGAATTTAACATTCCACAGCACAAAACGGGTGATCTAGCATCTGGGGCCGAGGACCAGACTGTTTTCTTACGACTCCAGCTCCGTGCTGTGGTCCACCTTGGGGCAGACTGGGAAAAGGGTCCTGGCTACTGCGGAGTTGGTGCTTTCACCTGCAAGCATACCCTGACTCCTGGCTTGTGTGTTTTTTCACCTGTCAGCCTGTGGCTGTGATAAGTCTGGCCTTGGTTTCTAACCCTCTTCTCCCAAGGAAAGGCGGCAGAGTTTTCTGTGTGTGTGTGTGTGGGGGGGGATTGTAGGTGAAAATGAGGCCTGAGTTGCAGCCATTTGCTCAAGCCCCCCCCACCCCCGGGGTGGGAGGCAGCAGGAATCTGAGGAAACAGGGAATCAAAGGGACTCCAAAGAGGCCCATCTACACTGACAGAAGAACTAGCAGCCCGAGAGTAAATCCTGCCCCTGTTAATCCTGTTTGATGTTTCTTGGAATGATGCAAGTCATTGAGACTCTCAGGCCTCCCTGTAATTTAATTCTCCCACCATTCCAGAGTGTTGTGTGTGTGTGTGTGTGCGCTGGCCTCTGGAAATGGGCAGCTATTCCCATTCCTCCTTTCCTTCTTGCTGTTTTCCAGCCAACCAGTGTGCCTTTGAATTTGTTTCTGTTGTCCAGGTCAAGACCTGCTTTGTTTTCCCTTCTAACGCTATTTATAATTTCCCAGTTGCTATTTTAAGTTCTTTTGTGGAAAGATTCCACCTCCAAGAACCTTTCTGGGTGTGTTTCCTCCTAGGCAGGTGTTGAATTGAGTTCTTCAGATCCCCAAGTAGCTCTTGGGCAGGAGGGATAAAAGCTATTTTAGGGTAGTCACTGAAGTGGAGCTGTTAATCCTCTGTGGGTCTCTTTAGTTAAGAACACTCAGAGATTAACCCTTTCCTTGCTGTAGAGACCGCTGGCTAGCTCAGCATTATTTGATGGGGAGAATTGGGACTGGCAGCAGAAGGTGGGAATTCAAAATTCAATACAAAGACCAGGATAATAGCTTTCTTTTGCTGGGCCCTTTGAGCAGGCCGAACCCGATGCTGAGCTTTTTGCATACCTGACTAAAATAATCCACACAACCAGACTGTGAGGTCAGTATTTTTAGCTTTACAGATGAGGAAACGGGCTAATAATGGAGAAAGAACGCAGTTTCTATAGGGATGATGTAACACCATAAAAACTATAGTTTCATCAGAGGGCAGCCTACATCACAGCACTACAGAAGATAGACCGGAGCTTCCAAAGGCCATGCAGAGTATTGAGCAAGCATTCTTACTTTGGGTATGGAGCTTTAATAATAGAAGAGGGTGTGATAAAGTGGCCATGCAGGCCAGAGAAAACTCTGTCCCAGGAGATGTGCTGGAGGAAGGTGAAGGGCTCTTGCTGAGGGTTAGCAGTGAGGGAAAAGAGGAAGGTTGAACTCTGAGATGTTGGGAAGGGAAGGAAACTGACTTTGAGGCATGAGAAGTGACACTAAGAGGGAGTGAAAAGTTACACTTGGCGTTGCTGAAGAATGGCAGCAGCGGGGCGGTGTGGCCCTCGTGGGCTTGATGTGTTCACACTTCGTGTCACTCTCAACAGCACCTTTTCACTTCATCCTCTGGAAAACATTTAAAGTTAAGAGAATGAATCTTTTTCAGAAATTGAGGAGAAATGAAGTAACCTGCCTGTGGTTTCACAGCCAGTGAGTGGTGGCTCTTCTGATAGCAAGTCCAAGGTTCTTTCTGTGCTGCCTCCCCCTTCAGATCAGATGCCAGAAGAATCTTGGGCTGAAAATACACTGACTTATACCAGTAACTGGGAGGGATTGTGTTTGTTTTATGGAAACAGGTTCTGTCAGCTTCTCCATAGCTACGGTTAGAGTGTGAGACCAGAAGAACAGCTTTGAAAGAGAAGCAAAATTCTTTCAGTTCTGACAAGTCTGAAGGAATAGGTCTGATTGTATGAATCAAACCCAGGAATTTTTCTGGATCAAAGGAGTATGCAGACAAAGGACACAGAGAAAGTGAGACTAGACCTCCAAAAGGTCCCTAGGTAACACCAGCAGCTGTGACTGCCAAGCAGTCTGGTGGCCACTTGTTGTAAATAAGGATCTTACTGAGCTTTTTCAGAGGCCTAGGGGAGTGGGATCAAGGTGGTGGCTCTTCTAAAGCCATAACCTCATTAAAACTGATCAAGTTGAGCACATGGTTCCCACCTTCCTCCTCTGGTTCTAACTGAGTAGCTAGCCTGTTTCCTAGAATCCCATTACTCACTCTTTCAGTAGCAGCATGCTAAACTGCTGTGTCTTGTTTGTGCATGTTCAACAGAACAGATGAGGTGGACGTGTGGGAGGTGGGGATGTACCATTCTCTTTCTGAGTTTGTGCGGAATTTCCAGAGCTAGACTCCCCCTCACATCAGCCAGAGTGATGTGACTTGCTTTCTTCTAGCTGCCATTCCCAACTTCCAAAGGCTGAGATGCATGATTTAGATATGAAATTCGAGCATAATTTGACTTTGAAATTCTCTCTAAACTAGACATGCATACTTGGAGCTCCTCTATCCAGTTCCAGGGTACATAGTAATCGCTGGTATTATAAACAGGTAATTCCACCCTTGCGCAGGAGGGGGGGGAATTTGAACAATGAAAGCCAGCCATTTGGAGGCCTTTGAGGTGTATAGAGAACAGCCAGCTATGCCAGGAGAGCTCTAGTGAGTCTAGTTTTTAGCAATTCCTTGCCCTTCCCAGTACATGATTAATACCAAAATACTGCCACTTTTGTGCAGATGATTCTAGGCAAATCCCCACTTGTGATGGGGAAATGTTTGTCATATTACATTACAATGTTTCTTCAACAAAAGGAATGGTTCCTGAACAGGATGTAGCTCATGTTATGATGAGCAAAGCTCTCTGGGGCATGAACCCGCTGATACTATCATCTCGTTCATGGCCAGTCTGTTGGATGAATGGTCTCTGTAAGCAGCAGGTGCTAATTAGCTGAGCAAGCATTCCATGGTCCACAGCTAGTTTGTGCAGTTGAAGCTCTCCCCAGATTCTTGTAGCCAATCCCCAGATACACCATCATTGCTCTCTTTACATGGAAAATCCTCATGAATGAATTTTGGGATAGTCTCTGAGTTGGTGTCAGGAAGGGGTCATGTTACTGTTGCTTTGTCTTCCTCTCTTTACTACACCACTTTACCAACTAAGGGAAGGGTCAGATTTCAAGTTTTGGCTCCTTTCTCTGGAGGGTGGCAAACCCGGTTTAAACTAGAACTTCTGGGTATAAAGTTAAACCCCTGAGAAACAACTTGAGTTCAATGAGTAATTTACTCATCAAAAAGGAAGTTGCAATTCCTTCTCTAGATGTTAGGTGTATGGGAATGAGAGAAATACAGCAAGTTCCCTCAAAGGATCGTCAGGTGGAGAATACTGAGGTTCGAATCAAGAGTGTTGTCTGTCCTAGTAGAGAATTGCATGTGTAGCCTCTGAATCTGTAGGATGAACCACTCATCACAGCACTTTGGGTTTTTGTGGTTTAAAAGAAAACAAAAAATCGTGGCTTTGGTAAAGATAGAGCTGGAGAACAAAAGACCCAGAAAGGTGATAGAGGTCAGGGTGGGACAAAGTTTTTGGGAAAATTCTTGGAGGCTACTGTTGCTCCTCCAGAAGGAACCACCTAATGTCAGTGCTCTGCTAAGAACAAATGTGGTGTAGGCCTTGGCTCTTGGATATGAATTTCCTATGAAAGGGTTCTTACTCTCTGTTGCCTTTTGGATATTTTATTGTTCCTTAGCACCTCTGATGAGGGGAATAATAGAAAGTGGGTGGAGAGGAGGAAAGGTATCTAAGCTTTGTGGGAAGGATGTAAAAATGAAGAGCAAGTTTAGTGTTTTGATCTTTATTTCCTCAAACTACCTTGTCTCTTCTAACCTAGAGGTACTAGTAATAACCCCAGATGATCACTGGTTAGCACCCAGTACCCATGGAAGCTTTATACTTGTGGCTGCATTGACCTCCAAAACATGATTTTGGAGGTTGTGTCTGTTTTGTAAATAAGGAA